TGTTTTTACAACATAAAGAAACATTGTAAGCAATACAAGATCGTGTGGTAATGTGCTGGTCTGCAGGACTGGCGCAGGTAATTGACTTACCTGATCTGCTGCTGGTGATCAGGGCAAGCGAGAGCTTCTGAATTAAACCCCATGAAGAATGAATTAATGCTGTTGTGGAAGATTATATTTTGGGTGGAAGTGACTGTAACATGAACTACCAGGTGGGCTGACTGCGTTTGATGCTTTAACACTAAATTACATTTCCACTGATAGGCAGCAGGTACCTGAAGGAAAGGCTTTTTGAAGGTAACTGATTACACGGTAATTCTCAGAGGGTGTGGCCCACTTTCCCTTTTCTCCAAAGTGCAATTTCCAACCATCTGGAGAATTTTTTTTTTCATGCAAACATTTTTAAAAATATTTTTTTATTTATTTCAGAGAGAAATGGACAGGGGAGGGAGAGAGATAGAAACATCAATGATGAGAGAGAATCATTGACCGGCTGCCTCCTACTGGGGATCGAGCCCACAGCCTAGGCAAGTGCCCTGATCGAGAATCGAACTGTCACCTCCTGGTTCAGAGGTCGGCACTCTGTCACTGAGCCACACCAGCCGGGCTGGAGAAGAACTTTAGGGCCTCCATGAACTTGTACCCTGAAGCTTTCTGTAATTAACCTAATGATTCATGCTCTGTCCCTAAAACTGCTGGATATTTTATGATAACTGCAATATTTTTATATGACACAAAGACACAGATAAATGAGCAAATCACGTGATCTTGTGGTGGTCAGGTGGTAAGTGGGCCATGAGGTGGGGAGGTGGATGGATTCCTAACCGAGCGCCTGCCCCTCGTTGCAGTTCACCGTGTTCATGGACTCGGCCATCCTCATCGCCGTCGTGCACTACTGTAACTTCTGCCAGTTCAGCTCCTGGATGCGGTCCTCCTTAGCCACGGTCGTCGGGGCTGGGCCCCTGTTTCTGCTCTACATCTCCCTGTGCCCAGACAGGTACGTGTGCCACCATGGCTCATGTCTGGCACTCTCGATGGCAGGGCCACCTTTCCCAGCGTCATTGATGTCTCTCTCACCTCAGTTTCACATCAGGACTAACACCGTCAGATCTAACAGATAGTCACTGTCACAGCGTGAGATAGCGTTCAACACGCATAATGTCAACAAGTGGCGAGATGCCCAAAAAGTAGTGTGCAAAAGAAAATAAATTTAATAATATAATGTGTTTGCATTTAGACATTCCTGGCTGACTACCCCCAAGAGAGAGAATGCAGTAGTCACATGTTTGAACTTATTTATAATGAAGAAGTTTGAATTTAGGAAGGTCAGACCAGGTGCTGTTTCATACAAGGCAAATGAAGGAATAAAGATACAGGTGGACACAAAAATGAAAATCGAAAGCAGTTCTAACCTAATTTGAAGTAGGGTTAATGTTCCAAGACAGATTGCAGACTGCTGAAGAAGAGGAAATGAAGAGGTATGACTGTGCAAGTGACCTGAGCATTATTCATAAATATTGTGTCAAAACAGCTCCCCACGCTATCACTTGAAGCATTAGAATCATCACGAACCACTGTAAATATGTTCTTATCTTGATATCCCTCCACATGTCGAAGAATATATTGAGTCCCTGGTACTCAAATGGCCTTCAAAACCATATCACTGGTAAGTGCTGAGGATAGAGTAGGCGGGGTAGGAAAAGAAACAGGAGCTATGTGAGAGATCCCTGGGGACAGGATCAGTTCTTAGTGCTGTACTGCAAAAATAAAAATAGGATAGGTTCTGGCTGGTGTGTTAAGTGGTTAGAGCCTCGGCCCCAGGGGACATGGGGGAGGCTTACCAATGGATGTGTCTCTCACACATTGATGTTCCTCTCTCTCCCCCCAACTCCCACAAACCCTCCCTTCCACTCTCTCTAAAAATCAGTGGAAAAAATATCCTCGGGTGAGGATTAACAACAACAGAAAATACATTGGATGGCAATATATGTGCTGTATTTAAAATATCCTATATTAATGAAATCCTTTTCACGTGTTCTAATAATTGAATAATGTTTGGTTCTTAGTTTGTTACAATGAGTTCAAAATTGCCTGTTGCATATTTGCAACTGGTTTTGTGGCTTTTAATCATTTTCACATTAAGATGTAGTTGAAAATACAATGATACTTTGGATAGCAGGATGCACACAAGTGAGGAATTTATTCAAAAATTGCATGATAAGGTCTTGAACCCAATAAGCTTCCTTTTCTGTAACATACTTCTAAATTGTTGACTTTTTGTGTAACTGCTTATAAAAACAATTTACTATCAGCATGCATTGAAGAACCACTTATTTACAGTTACACTCAGTTTAGGCTAGCAGGATATTTCAGTTACATGAAACATTTCTTCATTGTACTTTGTAGGATATCTAATATTCATGGCTCCCCAGATTATTATGATAACCAGAGAGACACCCAGCATTTCCAAAATGCCCCCTAGAAATGGTATGATTGCTGAGAACCATTGCGTTAGTAAGTTCAACAGTAGGTTATCCAGCCCTCGCTGGTTTGCTCAGTAGTTAGAGCATTGGCCCATGGACTGAAGAATCGCAGGTTCAATTCCAATCGAGGGCATGTACCTCAGTTGCAGGCTCAATCCCCAGCCTGGGTCGGGTGCACGTAGGAGGCAACCAATTGATGTGTCTATCTCACATCAACCTTTCTCTCTCTTCCTCCCTTTCACTTTCTCTAAAAATCAATGGGAAAAATTTCCTCGGGTGAGGATTAGCAGGGGAAAAAAGGTAGGTTATCCAGTTTGTCACGATATCTAATGAAATCGCCATAGTGTATCTTTGGGTAAAACCAAAGCAGTGGTTAGTAATGGACAGAGTAAGTGTCCTTCCTCAATTTACTTTAATAACAACATGAAGGATACTCAAGTTCTGTGCAAATTAAGATTAACAGGAATATAGAGTAGAACTGTCATTCAGTGTCTGAAAGGAAACTGTAATGAGTAGTTAATTACTTTAAGCAAAACAAAGCCTACATCTTCTTTTCTGAAGTTGCGGCCATCTGGAATTATAGTCATTATGAAGCTCTTAAGAGCCTGAAATTCAGCAAACTGCCTTTTATCCTTTTAGATCCCTCACAAACCACCTCGTCAGTTATTTACACTGTCATTCAGTCACTGGTGTGCGGCTTTTCCACTTGGGTCCAGAGAGCCATTGTAATGGGGGCCCCTCATCACCTCTTTGCCCAGAATTTAAAGAAGAGATCTTGGGTATGGCTGGCAATTGAATCTCCCCTTGACCCAGTACTTCTCCACACACACAAGGTCACTGAGCCCATTTAGCCATCGTCACGGCTAAGTCTTTCCAGGGCAGGAAATATATGGGGTGGTAAACAAAAATACAAACTCATCTCCTATAAAGGGGAGGGGACTCTGAGAACTGTGGCCAGCTTTTCGGGGACACAGACACGTGAATACAGTGATGTCACAGTCATGTCTGGACAGTGTGAGACGAGGACATGAAGTCTTATAATTCATACCTGTGATGTAGCTCTTGCTTTTCTTTCCTTTTCTGTAAAGTCATTTAACACCTCACATAATTATAAAAGCCACTCGTGAGCCCCCACCTGGCCCTTACTGCCCAGGAGAGCTGCTCACAGATGCTGTGCCATGTCCTCCTTTGCAATGAGCCAGGCTCCCTGGATGGGGGAGTTTGCAGTTGATTTCAGGACTGGGTGGGTTCTGGGTGTAACACAATTCCAAAAGACGTTGCTAAGAATGTGGGGAGATTAAGAGCTGCATGTGTGTACCTTCCCTAACCAAAAGAGCATTCTTTAAGTATGAATGGTTTCAGTGCAATAGCAAAGTCTGGCTTCTCCCTAAGATGTAATCTGCCAACACCTCTAGCAGTTCCTTTCAGAATTGATCCTTTGTCAGTATACATTGATTTTTGAACATGACTGAAGTTTCTATTCTATAGACACCATGATTAAATCCTAATTATAAAATAATAGCGGTCTGGTGCACAAATTCATGCACATTGAAAGGAAATTAATTAGAAGAAATATTTTAATATTGTTATTCACCCTTTCTTTATAATAGAAATGTCAACCAAATTCACAATCAACAATGACAGATCAAAACACACGTGTGTGATTGGCGCCAGCGAGAGCTTTATATGTATCGCTCATGCACGAGTCAACTTAGCCTTTTATAGATATAGAATAAACTTGCTTAATTAGACCTGCTTTCTGATTTAGCTAAGCCTTTTCCAGCCCAGTGAAGTACCCCAACTTCTCTTTCAGGTAATTGTCAGCAACACAGCAGTAAATATCAACACAAAGCAGATTATTATTGTAGATCACACAGGGAGAACAAAGGGTAAAATATTTAACTGCAGCAGTGTTTGAATATATTCCGTGCAATGAGAAAACCTGAAGTCATTTTCAAGGTCCTCCATTTTTTACTTCTTTTCAGTCGGGTCAAGTTTCTAAGCTTTCTAAATCTCCACTTTCCAGCTAATGAAAAGAAAATAGGAGTCTACCAAGTCTCCTATCTACCTTCTCCAGGACTTCTGTGAGGATCAAATGAGATGAGGCATGGGAAAATACTTCACAGACATTTGGTTAAAGTGTAAAATGTTTCCACCTGTCTATAAAGTAAGTCATGTTCCTGGGCTGAAGAAACTGCAAGGAGGCTAGTC